GAGGTAGGCAAAATTTCTCAGAAATTCATGAAAATGATAGCTCTAAGAGGTTCACAAGTGACTGGAAGGGGAAAAATAAGCCCTTCTGTCATTAAAAACCTCTATATACTTCTCGTTTCAAAGGTTAAATAGGCCTTCATGTACTTCACAATCAGTTCTTCTTTCTTTGGGAACTTTCTTGCTATTGGTATCAAAGGTATTAATTGACTTTTCTTTGTCACTAGGAGTCAAGTTTTTGAGTAAAGAGGTTTATAAACAATAGGGGAAGAGTAGAAGTGATTCTTGAAGTCATACTTCAAGTTGTTTTAAGGAAAGTATTAATACTTTATTAGCAAGGAAGTATAAAAACTTCTTGTGAACATCTTTTTTGTGTGTGATCAAAGGATCAGTGATATTTACATAATAATTTAAGATAAGTTTGATAATAAAAGATTTTTGATAAATTGGTATAAAAAAATTTATTGGAATATAAATTAAATATTTTATTTTATAAATATTTTCAAAAATTTTTATAATAGGTGAGTTATGATTAATTTGTCAATTAAAACTATTATGTCATAAATTTTGTTAGTATTTTAAATAATATCATATCATATTAATTTAATTTAAGTTTAAAAAATTAATATTGAATTTTCTGATTTTAATAAATTCAATTTATATTTTATTGAATCTATAAATTTTTCTTATTATTTTGATTTTTAAAATAATAATAAGAATAATAATAATTTATTTAATAAGTAAAACTTTAAATAAAATTTGTATTTTTTTTTGTAATACTGTAATTATTGAATCTGATTTTTTTTTTAAAAAGTATTTAATTAAAAAAAGGTTTTATTGTTATGGTTATCAAGTATTTTGAAATCATGAAATGTTACTTGCAATAAATGTTTTTATTAATGTTGAATACTCTGTATGACGCACATTGCAATTTATAATAATACATAATATTATGTTAGAGAAATAATATAGAGGAATAAAATTAATATTATCACAATGACTATTAAGGGTCAATGAATTTATATGGTATGGTCTCTCATAAATCAAGGTTCGATGACGAACGATAGGTGGCCACCTTGATACCACCGATTCCTTCGGGATGACAACTTAAATATTAATTATTAAAGTTAATTTTCCTAATGCATAATTAATTTTCGCTAATACGTATTCGTAACATATGTGCGCACCATTAATAGCGCAGATTATTTATAGTAGTTGTGTAACGATGTTCGGTTCGCCGAGTGTTAATTAATCCGAGCTCACCCTCTCCTCCCTCCTTTCCTAACCCGCGATTGCCACGCAGATCGAACACCACCTAATTTGGCATCCGGGTTATCGAATGATCATCTTCGCCAATCGGTAATCTATTAACCGTTTCTGTATCAATGTATCAAGTTTTTTGAATGCGTTATATTATTATTATTACGCAGGATTTTTGGGCTGATTGTTTGTATGATGTAATTGTCGATCAATCTATTACTTGGAAGAAATTAAATATGGTAAACAAGAGTGGAAATCCGATGAGTCGTTTCCTAATTCAATTTCCTCTAAAAGGACCAGTACGAATGAAGATGCATATTAATTTTAGCTAACTCATTTTAAAAGCATCATTTAACTTTTGCGGACACAGGCACACGTGAATTGTTCGTGAAGAACTTTTGAAAATGAGGATCAGAGTTAGTTTATCATCACCATATCGATTTGCAAGAGACTTACTTCTTTTTTAATACATGAAAATAATTTTTGGGGGGGAAAGTGAGAGTCAGTGGCAAAGGGACATTGTACACTCAACTTGCTCGTCTCTTTCACCCTTCTCCTCGGCACCGTCCAGCTCTCTCCCTAACAATTTATGATTTATTGTCGTGACACAATTTCATAAATTTCACTAGAACACCGACGACTACCGGGTAATGACGAACCTCGCTGACGACATCATTGAATTAATTCATATCGTACTATGTGACCGATTTAAACTTACCTAAAGACGCTAATTGCAAACTTGATCTTTCATGAACGAGATTAAGCAATTTACGCGTTTTTTTTTTTTTTTTGCTTTATCTCTTTGGCTCCCCGATAATTTAACGTTTTAAGTCATTTAACCAACATACGGAGGTGGTGGTTATCATGCATCAGTGTTATGGCTAGAAACAAACTAGTTAGTCTCATTCATCATCCTTCAACTATTAGTATCGTGGTACTAGACTTATCCGCTGACAACGAGGGGAGATCAAACGAACGTGTGTGTAAAGGGTTAGACCACACGATAGAAGTGCGTTCTCGCGTTTTCGTTAAATGCTGCAAAGATAAGACTTTTAAGCTTATTCCTTATCTCTTGCACGAGACGTTTGATGCACAATTTAGCACGGTTATTGGTTATCGCGTAGAGGATGAAGATGTACCGTACTGTGCAACAAACCCGACTCCATTTTTTTTTTTTTAAGGGTACCGAGATTCATAACCCTGCCGCATTATCGTCTAATATCGATCATCCCAAGATGTATGTATGACGATTGTCGCCAGCGTTGGACTCGCGTTTTTGTCGATGATTCGGGAACGAGCGATGACAGTTCAACGACAGCAACACTCTACATGACTGCATCGTTTGTTTTGGCTAGGCGTTATCAGCATGTCCGCGTATCCTCTTTATATATACTGTACATGTATATAATATAGGTAAATAATATAGGTAAATAATATAGGTAAATAAAAAATAGGTAAATAATATAGGTAAATAAAGAATAGGTAAATAATATAGGTAAATAAAGAATAGGTAAATAAATTATAAAAAACCAGGTCCCCAAGAGAGGCGGATCAACTTGACTGAAGACGAGGGCATGGTTCTTTTTTCTTTTTTTTTTTCTGGAAAAAGCATACATCCCCGTGAATTCAGATTGACTTCGACGCATACAAAGCATATACAGTATGTATGGTCGGATACAAGGATGCCTAGTCAGCCGCGACCTACAAATCTGCGACTGATCGAAATGGCAGTGATCCTTCAGATTAGAAAGTCATTCTTATCTCGGAAAATCTTGTCTTTATCGATTCCGATGCTCACGTTCCTTTGTGGAGTGCCTTCTAAGTTATGTAATAATGTATTAGTCTAGGAATCTTAAGCTTAAATTAATGATTCGATATCTTGATGCATCGTAATCTATCATCAGTTTCATCAATTCCATCAATTTTTTTATCTGTCAAAATCTTCCTATGAACTACTACAAATCGGGTATATTAGTAACAACGTTGGATACACCAACATTCTCTATATATTTATTTATTGCTGCAGTTCCTTTCGTGCGTTGTACGACCGAATGAAAATCATGGGCCTGCATTGCAGGTTCCCGAAGGTTAGTCTTTTATTGGAGTTTTGGTCTTAACGGGAAGAGAAAAAATGCATAATCGAAAGGGAATTGCTTTTTATATCTATGAAATACCTTTACGAAACGTACTGGTCATCATTCAACATGATTCGGTGTATTCAAAATGAATACTTAACAGTCATAGAATTGTTTACATTTTCCTATCATGGTAGCAGACTACATGAAGTGACAACTGATGATAGGGTTGTTATCGGCGTGATTTCTCGAGATGATTAAGTTGTTTGTTTTTTTTTTTTTTTATGCATACTCAAATTATTGATAAAGGTTTTAAATCACAAACGTCTTTTTCCTCATTGCTGATACGTGAATGATTAATACCGTGTGATTACCATAAATACATAGAATACATACATCTTATCTATATTGCGTAAAATACGCAGAATGTGCTCGATTCGCGGAATAAGATGTCCACGTCCAACCCACAGACAATTAATTAACCTCTCGTGAATAAACTTTTCTCTGTATGGAATCGATATTTACACGCCTTTTCTCCTCTTTTCACCAATTTGTAGAACCCTGACGAATTTGAATTCAAAAGAAAATCTTTCGATGTGTCGCCTGCCGAACACGCCACACCGTTCGATCAAAAATTTACCGTAACCCTATTCATCACACGAGTTGCTTATTTCCGGCAACAGGACACTAGAAGACTCTGCAGCCTCAAACAAGTCTGACAATCAATGTTTGGTTTATGATAGGTAAAGTAGATTTTTCTAATTCTGACCGAGGTTATGAATACAGCATATTTATTATTTTTTTTTTTTTTTATTATATGCGACTGTATGTGCACAAAACTCTGAACAAAAAAAAAAAAGAATACAAAAATACGACCGCTAGCAATCAATATTTTATTTTTTTGCCCAAGGGAAATAATAATAACGCATTCAATTTCAATTTCAGCTTTTCTTTTTCCTCCATTCCACCCCTAACTTCTTTACATGTTAGCTTTTGTTTTCTCTGTTATATCAAAGAGAAAAAATTTCATGCATCGCCATCTTCACTTCTTTAATATATAATAATAACCTTACCTAAAAAATTCACACCACGCTTTCCCTAAAAAAAAACCTCTCATGATAAACAAAGTTTTTTTTTTTTCTATATAAACTGGTTTTCTTTAATGTTGCCTCATTTCTTTTAAGTGCTGGTTTTCCTCATTATCATATTATACATATCTTAATGTTCTCAGCTACTTTATAGAAAAAAAATTTTTTAATAAAAAAAAAAAAAAAATCTCTTTGGAAGAAACCACTTCGTCTGTTATCGCAGTAATTTATTGTCGGACCTTTTCACATACCATGGAGTGCGGGTTTTCGTGCCTGTACTCATCTTAAACCAAAGAAAGAACGAAAAGAGAAAGTCTTAACTATACAACTAACCACACCAACACACCTTACTTTCAAATTTCTTTCGTTGAACGAAACAAAACCTCAACTGGTAAGTATTGATGCTACTACCATGAAAGTTCCATTTCTCTTCCTTCTCCCTTTTTCTATTTTTTTTTTTTTTTTTTTCTCTTCAATCATGTAACCCATTTTCTCTCGTATACGTAAATAGCTCGTCCGTCAAAGTAGTGTTACTCTACCGCTTGGATTTATCCTCACCCCTTGCATACACCACTTTTCCATGCCTCTAACACTTCCCGGAGCTGGTTCCTTTTCTTTTTTTAAGAGTCCCCCGCTAACCACTACTTCTTTGATATTTAATGATGAACATAACATTTCCACCCTCTCCGCTACCACCTCCTCCTCAAACCTCAACAACAAAACTGCTGCCGCAACTGAAACACGGGATCCGTGCAACGCTATTCCCGCAGAAAGTAGGATAGATAATGGTAGTATTAAAAGCGAAAAGACCTCAAATCTCTTGAACCCAGTGGTTTCTGCAGAAAGGAGGGCTCGTTCCGTGGACGCTGCTATAAATCGCTGCCGTCGGGGTAGCAATTGCAGCTCAAAAGCTAGTAACAAGAAACCTGTGTGGTTCAAAACATTAATGCATCGAATGCAGCAAACCTTCTTTAGATTCAACAATGAATCCGGGGGTCAAGTGAAGGTGAACGATGATGTTTCCTCTCCTCGACCGAGATCGAGCGCCGACGCCGTTCGTCAAGAAGTTTGCAACAGAGCAACCGACGAACAAGAGAATACTGTTTTATCGCCGGACGAAGAGTGCATTGAACAGGAAGATTCCGACCACCCCATGCCTAGTGATAATGAGATATTGAAGAATCCTCCCTCAACGTCGTCATCGATATCATCCTCGTCGTCGTCGTCGTCGTCTTCTCGTCACTCTACCTCGATTTTTGAGATCTGTGCTCAAATCCCTCGACATAAAACCAAAGAGCCCGAAGTTTTGCATCAAGCCGGACGGTTCACCATTGTGCGAGAGCGCGAAGATTTTGATACCATAATATTTGATCAGTGTCATTGTTTGCAAAAACCCTGTAAATATTTATCAAGTGGCGGGGTTCATCCTCCCCCACCACTGGAACTTTCATCAGAGTCAACGCCGTATCCTTCCCGGACCCGAAATATGAACGAGGTTCATCGACAGTCGATGAATTCACGGTCTTCGAGTCTGACCTCCCGATCTGGACCTCCTAGCGTTCATGGATATCAATTCTATTCGCAACCCCCTTCAATATCATCTTCGTCAAGACGCTCTCTGCCCTGTCTATATAGAAATAACTCGACGAATGCAAACGTCATGAACAATATTTTATCATCATCATCGTCATCTATCATCATTCCTCTTGCGTCAACCGTGTGCAGGTCAATAGTCGCGGACGCTACTTCCTCAACATCACGCCGACAAATTCTCCCCACCTCGGCGTCATCTCCAAACCTAATGAACATGAACATGCACAACCAACCGAAGAGTGAAGGCGTGTGGAACAATAATAACAAGTCGCACCTTCAACCCAATGCAAACATTCATGGAAGGACTGTTTCCTCGGCAACCACGAGAGCAAGAAAGCCTTCCATTGTTAATATGCACCAGGAGTTTCTTCCTAGCAAAAGACATAGTTCGGTGTTTGTGGCACCGACGTCATCCTCATCACATCACCATTCCTCGTCGTCAAGAACATCCATCTCTTCTTCCCATGAACCTCACACCACAATAAGTTCACATTCGGGTAGAAAGTTTGAGGTTGAATGGTACTCCTCATCAGTTGCTTCTTCGAATTCCTCTGCTTCCTCAGAGTTTGTCTCCTCCTCACCTGCTTCCACCATCAGTGCATTCAGTTTTGCCTCAAGCCCCGGTACAAATTCATACTCCCCCGCAACAACGCTAAGCCGTCAACGTAGCAGCACTCTCAGTAGCAAGCATGGTCGTAAATTTGAGGTTACGGTTTTATCATCGGACAACGATGTAACCACGAATAACTAGTTCGAGGAATTAAAAAGAAAAAAAAAAAAAAATCAAATAATTGAACAATAGTGTTAAAAAAAAAAAAATAAAAATAATACCAAATAATTTATAAATATGAATAATTTTTTTTATAAATTTTATAAATTTTTGTTAAATAATAAATAAATAGTTGTTGAATTTTTAATGAATGAGCAATGAACTTTTAATGAATAATTTAATGAATAGTTTCTGAATTTTTAATGAATTTTTAATAAATAGTTTTGATGAATAATTATCAATTTTTTAATGAATGGTTGATAAATTTTTATTGAATTATTAATAAATTAATGTTAAATTTT